AAATAAGGAAAGTTGTTTTACAGTGAACCTTTTATGCACAAATTATGACAAGTTATCTTTCAAATAGGTATATTTTTAATATATGTATTTTGCTGGTGAGAATAACAGCGAATGCATAGCTTAAAAGGCATGCTTACCTTAAAATGTACTTCCTCCAAGAAAGCAGCTGGCAAGGGACAGAGTAGCTGCATTGATGGTGGGCAAAAGTAACATACCCTGGAGGTACTTGGAAACCAGAGAATATCTGAATGTAACTTTCTTGGTTAAACACTTTGTATTATTATATGCGGTCTTTCCACCCCAAATAATGCAAATAGAATCTCATAATCCTTAGCTTTTACTAATATTGGTGTTCTTGCACAAATTTAAAGAATCTTTAACCTGCGTATTTGTAAAAAAAAAAAAAAATTGCATCACAATGCACCAATTCAATTTTATATTTTTCATGAAAGCCACACTTGAAAATGATGACTATTACGCTTATACTAGATATACAATCAAGTGAAATATTAGACTTGAAATCATGCATGTATTGTAATTAGGACACTAATTACTTTTCTTCTTTTTTTTTCCAGGGCAAATTATGACATCAACATCAAAAGGAATCTTCCGACCATTTTTATTTATCAGCATTGTGTTGATCTGTTTTATGGTATGTTTACTGATATATGTGAAACCCACAAACAACTGGATCTCTGGTCCCATTGAATCAGCTAATTCCGTCCTTAAAATGAAAAGCTTTTTTTCATCTAAAAGGGATTATTACAATGATACCATCATACTTATTTGGGTTTGGCCTTTTGGACAGACCTTCGAACTCAGATCCTGCCAGGCTCTATTTAACATTCATGGATGCCATTTAACTACTGACCGTGCACTGTACAACAAATCTCACGCTGTCTTGATACACCACAGAGACATCAGCTGGGATCTGACAAACCTACCACAACAAACGAGGCCACCCTTCCAGAAATGGATCTGGATGAACTTAGAATCACCAACTCATACACCACAAAAAAGTGGAATTGAGCATTTATTCAACCTGACATTGACTTACAGACGTGATTCGGACATTCAAGTGCCTTATGGCTTCATGGTCGTAAGCACAAAACCTTTTGAGTTTGAAGTGCCAAGCAAAGATAAGCTGGTTTGTTGGGTTGTTAGTAACTGGAATCCAGAGCATGCTAGAGTGAAATATTATAATGAACTCAACAAATACCTTGAAATTCTAATATATGGTCAAGCATTTGGAGAATACTTAAATGACAAAAGCCTGATCCCTACCATCTCAACATGTAAATTTTACCTTTCCTTTGAAAATTCAATTCACAAAGATTACATTACAGAAAAACTGTATAATGCATTATTGGCTGGATCTGTGCCTGTTGTCCTCGGCCCTCCAAGAGAAAATTATGAGAATTATATACCAGCAGATTCTTTTATTCATGTGGAAGATTTTCTCTCTCCAAGAGAGTTGGCAGACCATCTTTTAATGCTAAACAAAGACACAGAGCGCTATCTTAGCTACTTTAACTGGAGGCGGCACTTCACGGTGAATTTGTCGCATTTCTGGGAATCACATGCGTGCCTAGCATGTGACCACGTAAAAAGACATCAGGAATACAAATCCGTCAGTAATCTGGAGAAATGGTTCTGGAATTAAATCTCCATTTTGTTTCCTTGAGCACATTAAAAACAGTTACCCACTCTAAGATACACGCGTAGTGTTTCGTCTCACAGTTTACTGCTCTGTTGAATGCATTATTTAACATAACTTTGTCAGACCTAAAATTCTGTTTTCGGTATCAAAAAAATGCTTTCATTTCATGACATTCAACATGTGTGCACATAGAAAGATATTCTACAAATGAATTCAATTTTTCCATGGATACATTTTGCTTATAATGTTTACATTCTCAGTGTTTCTGTACCCAGCATTTTGTACTCACCATCTGGTCTGCATAACTACAAACAATTATGATATCACATACAGTAATTTAATGTGTTTTTTTTGTTGTTGTTTTGTTTTTGTAATTTATGTAAGAACATTGCTTAAAGTAGATGTTGCATCACAAGGGTGAGAAATAAGTGAAACGTTTAATCCTGATCAGGTTCTTAGATCATTTTGACATTTTAAAAGAATGAATGAATATTAATGGGAAGGACTACTAAACCTGATATACTTAAGCCATCTTCTCACCCTAAAAACATCTCACAATATGTTTTCACTTTTAGAAGTCTCACTGCTTCGATCATATTGATCAAACATCGATTTTTATTAGTCTTGCTTGTGTCTGTGTATTAAACCATATTTGTTTTATTTGTGATTTAAAGAATGATTGGATGATCTTTATTTTTATTATAAAGACTTAATAGCAGCCATGTAATCCTTGTGTTAATTCAATAATGGAATTTTCAACAACATTTTGTTAATAATTTTTAAAGAATTTATGTCCCCTGAAAATTGCAAATCTATAGTCGATATATATAGAGAGCTCTTGTTATGGGAAGATTAAAGTCAACCTATAGGCACATATTTCCTATGTGATTACAACGTAACAGGCCTCTTGTTTCTATATCGTGTGTCATTATGTTAGTCACCTTTATGAAGTGAGCTAGATAATGTATAAAACACTGCAGCTGCCGAAAGGTTGTTTAGTAATAATACAGCAAAGGAATGGACAAGCAAGTTTTGCGTGGGGTCCTCAATTTACTGAGGCACCAAAATGAATTTTTATTTTTTTTATGGTTAGATTGAATTATTCAGGCTGTTATTAGGATGAGCAATTTAAAATAATGGAGTATATTTTTATATATTTTTCAGGTGTCAGAGTTAGTTCGGGCCATTACGTTAAAAAATAAATCTATAATATTAAAGTCACTAAATAGCAAATCTTGGGGACGTGAAAAACTACTTGAAAAGTGCCAACCCCATAACAAAAACTTCAGCTCGCGATGTCATTATGGGCGAAGTAAGATTAACATTGAGGTGTCCTTAGGCAGTCCCTGGGACACATGGGTTAGGCAGGGGCTCTTTAACCATGCGTTTGCTTTGTCCTATTCACCATCACTAGATGAAGAATGAAGGAAGGCCCCAAACTATTAAACTGCCTGGGGCACGTTGGGATCCTAATCCTTCTCTGATTATTGGGGTTGAAGTCCCTGGGCACCTTCTTACCTTACAGAGTTACAATGTTTTGGAACGATTTAACAATATCCTTAGCTGTCTGCATGTGTTGCTTCCCCGCTCTTCCTTACAACCACTGCACTGATCAGGAAGGTTTGGGTCAGACACAGGTTAATAGCGGAGAATATCAACTGATGCTTTAAGCCTATCACCAGCTCCCAAACCAATATTTCTTGGTCAGAGCAGAGAGGAGTCAAAGTTGATCGTCCCTAGGGACACAACCTCGAGATTAATTAAACAGTGGGACAGTAGTTTAAACCTATAAGGTATGTAACAGCCCAAGAACTCCAGCTCTCATAATGATTAAAGAGGTTATGGGGGTGGCATGACACTTTCATATCAAGATAGCAAAGTGGACATAATCATGTTAGCCTAAATGTTGTAAGTATAAGACAATGCTCAGTACAACCCAATGAACCCTATAATCATATTGAAATGTAATTAAGAAAACGGGATATAAGCATACAGGCTATATGTCAGACTAGATGTTTAAGCCATCAATTATAGATATAATTTGCTACAAGGTTAATATAGATAAATATTGATAAGACATCTGCCATTGAAAAGTGAAATGGATTGCACTACCACTTTGTGAAATAATGAACAAAACCTTTATGTACATAGATATATGAATAGAATGCTCTACAATGTGCAAATGTTACAAATGTTAAATATTGGCTTATTCACCAAAGGGAGAACTGTTGGGAATTGACGAGTGAATTACACATTTAAGTCAATAAGTTGGAGAATTTGTTCCAGTTCGGCTGTTTTAAACTAATATTTAAAAATCACATTGTCACTTTGCGACGATTTCTGCTAGTGAATAACTGTATATGTTTGTTTTTTGTTGCTGTGTTTAATTAAACTATGAATTGTGTCCAAAATCGTTAATGTAGAAAAAAGAAAATTCAATACGCTTATATTTCCAGCTTGGCTATTTTAGCCTAAAAATGTGGTTTACAGTCCATTGTTTAACTAATAATCTCATAAGGTCTTTACATTAAAGGGACACTTTAGTCACCAAAACAACTTTAGCTTAATGAAACCATTTTGGTTTATAGATCATGTCCCTGCAGTCTCACTGCTCAATTCTCTGCCATTTAGGAGTTAAATCACTTTGTTTATGAACCCTAGTCACACCTACCTGCATGTGACTTGCACTGCCTTCATAAACACTTCCTGTAAAGAGTCATCTAATGTTTATCCTTCCTCTATTGCAAGTTCTGTTTAATATAGATTTTCTTATCCCCTGCTATGTTAATACCTTGCTAGACCATGCAAGAGCCTCCTGTATGTGATTAAAGTTCAAATTACAGAGCAAGAGATAAAACTGTTTAAAGGACCACTCTAGGCACCCAGACCACTTCAGCTTAATGAAGTGGTCTGGGTGCCAGGTCCTTCTAGGGTTAACCCATTTTTTCATAAACATAGCAGTTTCAGAGAAACTGCTATGTTTGTGAATGGGTTAAGCCTTCCCCTATTTCCTCTAGTGGCTGTCTCATTGACAGCCACTAGAGGCGCTTGCGTGCTTCTCACTGTGATTTTCACAGTGAGAGCACGCCAGCGTCCATAGGAAAGCATTATGAATGCTTTCCTATGTGACCGGCTGAATGCGCGCGCAGCTCTTGCCGCGCGTGCGCATTCAGCCGACGGGGAGGAGAAGAGGAGGATCGGAGGAGGAGAGCTCCCCGCCCAGCGCTGGAAAAAGATAAGTTTTAACCCCTTTCCCCCTTCCAGAGCCGGGCGGGAGGGGGACCCTGAGGGTGGGGGCACCCTCAGGGCACTATAGTGTTTTCCTGGCACTATAGTGGTTCTTTAAGGTAAATTACATCTAATTGAAAGTGAAACCAGTTTTATTTCATGCAGGCTGTGTCAGTCATAGCCAGGGAAGGCGTGGAAATGGCTGCATAAACAGAAACAAAGTGATTTAACTCCTAAATGACAGTGAACTGAGCAGTGAAACCTGAGAGGCATGATCTATACACTAAAACAGCTTCATTAAGCTAAAGTTGTTTAGGTGACTACAGTGTCCCTTTAACTTTTTGTGGTGTTCCCAACTTGCTGCTTTTCGATGCTTTATGCACACCATGGGCACACCTTATGATGTGTATTTTTTTTAATATATAGATTTTGTTGGTGTTATTAGGTGTGGACATTTTAAATCCTGCACAGTAGAACTCTATTTCAAAGCAAATTTGCATAATTTATAAATTACTTAAAGAAGATGTTTGTAATTATCCTATTTTGAGTTTTATGTGTTTGCTAGAAATAATTAAAGGAATACTCCAAGCACCCTAACCACTAAAACCACTGTAATGATTATAGTTCTAAGCGTGCCCTGGCGCCCCCTATGTAAGTTGACAAACAAGTTTACCGGTCCACCGACTCTTTGTCTCTAAAGCACTCTCTACCTGATGTAAGCCTGGAGGTGCAGGGCTAGCTCACCCTGATGCTTTCAGTCAAACTACTGGCCATGTATGGCTTGACTACTTACACTGGCGAGTTCTCTGGCACTGTAGTGGTTATGGTGCAGGCAGTGTTCCTTTAAAGAACACCAGCAATTTTAAGAAATTTAACCTGGCACTGGAAGGGATTTGGAATTGGGTACTCTACCTTAAGTAAAATAGATCATGGCATACATTTATTTTTTTATTTAGGTAATGAGAATTGTTTATTTCAGGCTTTTAAAAGCTATTTCAATAATTGTTCAACATTTTTATTTTTAATACAAAAATAAGGTGTATACAAAACTAAATAAAATATTAAAGTGTACCTGTCATGCAAAAGTTATGGTATTATTTAATAAAGCATATTATTCTCTTTATACATTGCATCTGAATAACAGGCAAAGAAGAAATGAAAGAAGCTCTGTGTTGCCAGGTATTTAAGAAGGAGATGTTAAACATTGTCTATGTCCAATATGAAACTGAAACAGATACATTAGTTTTTTTCTCATGGCTTAATACACTTGAAAAAATAGATATATTTCATATTTGGTGTTAGCATTCCTTAATGCTTGATTTTATAATGTAAGCTTACATTTGCATTGTTTTGGGGGGGTTTTAGGTACTGTGTTCATCCTTCATTGAAAAGCATTATGCACATGTTTCTATCTGCCCTTTCATAGGCATATTCATGTTGCTCCCCCCATTGTTATATTTACTATGCAAATGTCAAATTTTGAAATTCACACACATGATAATATTCCCCAGTTAATCAATCATTGTCCCCTGGTTTATGGTTTCTAGTGCCCAAATACTCAATTCAACTTCCCAATTCCTAATTCTCCTCTAGGAACAGGTTTCGAAAAATGTTTTACCTAGTCCATTCTTTTTTATTAATCACAACATATCCTAAAACACCCCCAGTTCAGTTTAAATTTGATTTTCCAATGCTATCCTTTCCAGGTTCATAATTCATGCTCCCAAGCCATATTCCCAATGCAGTTTGGACAAATTCATCCCTTATCCAATTTCTCCAGTTCATGCCCCTTATTCCTTCAATCCAATCATCTACTCTTAATAGTTATACAGTCACATACACCACCAGAGAGGACAGTAGTAACCATGAAACTCCAGCAGAATGTTGTCTTTTTTTTTTTTACTGCTGTGTGAGTGTGGAGTTTCTGGAGCTCTCTATTGCCATACTTGGAACTAAATGTAATTCAAAGAGAAAACAGTTGAAGGGGACTTTTGCAAAGTCTATTCACATAAATGCTTTAAATCAAAAGAAACAAATACAAATCTTGAAGAGGGGGAACAGGATAATAAAAATAATGAAAGCCCTAACCTTTATTGAAAAGTAAAGTAATGTAAGTAATGTAATTACAAAGGGGGGCAGAGCCTGACCGCCATGCTGGCTGGTCACATGAAACAACAGCAATTTTCCAACTTTTAATCTCAAAAATGTGAATCCTGATCCTGCCAGATGACCAAAAGCGGTGGACCAGCACACGAGGAAGCACTAGACCTGAGGAGAGGCTTGCAATTTTTTGTTTTAGTCCCTCGGAGTGATAACCGGCATCCCCACTGGATGAGGCCTACTCAGGAGGTGAGTGGTGTGGACGGCTACTGCCTCGCTATCCTGCCCAACGGTATCCAGTCGGACTCCCTCAGAAGGGCAAACCAGGCCCTGCCCCCCTCCCTGGGCCGTTGGGGGTGATCCCAACCCACACCCTGCTTCACAACAGTGGTCCCAAAGCCCCAACACACTGCCACAACACAGCCCAAGCCACAAGCCACATCTAAAATGGCAGCAGCCAGGAATCAGACAGCGCGCAGAGGGTAGACTGCCATCTTCCGCTACTTGAGGGATACAATCCCCATAAATTCTGGGCAGGCCCTACATGCCTGGTTATGGCAGCCGGATCGGCGGGAATGCAATGACACACCACATCGGTATATGACAGAACACAGGTACTGTGATTCCTGGGACCACACACGGTGAATAGGTCGAAAAGGCTGTGAGCCGGTACAAGCAGCGCAGAACTGGATAACCAGACCCAGCAGACCACCCCCTGACCAGGTCCAGACGAATGGCACACGGTGCACAACGTCGCTCCATCTCTCAGAACTGACCCACGGAGCCCTCACGGCAACACAGCAACACCTACCTGTTGAACCACAGCAGCTGAGGCTCACTCTATACCACAGGGGGACTTTCCAGCCATTAGCCTCCACACTGTGGTCCCTGAGAAAATATGACTGAAGGTAACCTCAATGGCCACACTGTTTGTGTGCAGCAACCTGCCTCATACCCCTACTAGGGGCATCGGAACTCAAACGCCTGTCGCTGGGGTCTCGGGGTGCTCCTATATTATAAGTCTGTCTTTCTCATGAAGCCTAACAGGTTTCCCAGAGCACACTCATTGTCTCTTACCATAGTACTAAGCACCTGAACGCACACACTAATGGTTAGGTCACTGCACCACAAGTAATGCTTAATCTATATAACATGAGCAGCACTATCAACACTGTGCCCTTTATGCAAATGTTGTTTGTTTACCGCTTATGATTTCCAACAGGGCAATACTTTTCGAATGACAGCTGCAGGGGCTATCGATGCCTAATAAGCCTTTAACTACTCATTTAATACCATGTCGTATAGTCTTGATAAAATCCAGCTTAGGCAACTCAAGTAGCGAGGTCCAGATAACTAGACAATATTTGAATGCCTCTACTCACTTTATCATACTTAAGAACCATTGTATGTTTATTGTCTTACACTTGCTGATCCCAACGCGACCCACCAAGATAGACATACATAGTCAGCCTGTATTCAGCTTGTTTTACAAAATATAAAAAATGTGCTTTACAATAAATGCCAACTGTTGACTTATGCTTGTTTTCCAATAGCCTGTGACTGCTGTTGCGGCATTACAAGTATGCATCTGTTATCCCATGCACAACAAAATAAAGAATTTTTTAAAAAAAAGTAATTACATAAAATGCCCAAGGAAATTAAAGGAATCCCTAGAAAAGCATAAAACAAAAAATACTGCAATTTGTCAATGTATACAATGATAGTGGACAATCGCCACAATAGTAATTGTATAGGATCCAAGTGCTTAACAGGATGATGATTGACTGTTTATTCAAATGACAGCTGTTTGTATGGAGTGATGAATGGAATTGCTATAAAGTCTGCCTGCACTTGTAAAATGAATAATACCAGAACACCTACATAAGTTATAAAAATAATGTGAACATTGACCCAATACAGTCTGACAGCAAAGGTGGCGGTGTAGGATTTCTCCTTTCTCCCCACTGTTTCTTCAAACCTCTACCCACCCCCCCTTCCCTCTCGTTCTCCTCCTTTGAAATTCACTCAATTTGCTTATTCAAACCCATATCTGTAAACATTGCAGTTATTTATCGGCCCCCAGGTTCTCCTCATCTCCTCATCTATTCCTTGACCATTTTGCTGCTTGGCTTCCTTACTTCCTCCCAAGCAATATCCTATCCCTAATTCTAGGGGATTTCAACATTTCCATTAACCCACCCTTGTCCTCAGTAGCCTCCAAACGTATTTCAATCACTTCCTCCTTTGGGCTATCACAATGTTGCTGGCAATACCCTAGATCTTATTTTTTCAAATGCAAGCTTAGACTCCAATCTCTGTAATACTCAATTTCCTCTATAATTTGTTCTCTAGTGCCCCCACACCCAATATCCTCAACCTAACCCCCCGCAACTCAGGCGGAACCTGAATTCTCTTTACTTCCAGCAACTCTCATCTGATCTCCATTCCAAACTCTCATCCATCCCTACTTTCTCCTGTCCCTCTCTGGCCATCTCCTCATATAATATTACTCTATCCTCTGCAGCCCTGCTCAAAGCATGCCCCTCTAGGAGGGCGCGCATCCAACCGTGGCACACTAAGTAAACCCGTTACGTGCAGAGATGCTCCCGTTCAGCTGAACGATGCTGGAGAAAGTCAAGATTAAACAGTTAAGGAGTTAATTCTCCCACCTTCTCACCTCTCTATCTCAGCCTCACTTGGATCATACCACCCCTACCCTCCAAGACTTCCCTCCAGCTACGGAACAGGAGGTAGCTGCGCTTCTCCTCTCTTTTCGTCCCACCACAATGATCCAGTATCCACCTCATCAGAGCTCTCACCCCTTGTCTTGTACCATCCTTAACACACATCCTAAACTGCTCTCTTTGATCTGGTGTTGTCCCTGCTCCCCTTAAGCACGCTACTGTCGTACCCATCGTAAAAAAAGAAATCCCTAGACCTGTCTTCCACTTCCAACTGTCGTCCCATATCCCTGCTTCCTTTTTCCTCAAAGCTTCTAGAAAGGCTTGTCTTTACCCGTATGACTCAATTCCTAAATTCCAACTCCCTCCTCGATCCTCTTCAATCTGGCTTTCACCCCCTCCACTCTACTGAGACTGGTCTTATTAAAGTTACAAATTACCTAATCACAGCCAAAGCCAAAGGCCACTACTCCATACTAATTATTCTTGACCTCTCTCCTGCCTTTGATACTGTTAATCATGGCCTCCTTCTCCTAACTCTACAATCTCTTGGTCTCTGTGACACAGCCCTCTCATGGTACTCCTCCTATCTCTCCCAACACTCCTTTAGTGTCTCTTTTTGCCTCTCTTGACAAACTCATTAATTCGTTTGGATTCCATTACCACCTGTACGCTGACGACACCCAGATATATCTCTCCTCCCCTGACCTCTCCCCTGCTGTCCCACAACGTGTCACCAATTGCCTTTCTTCTATCTCTGAATGGATGTCCTCCCGCTTTCTGAAGCTCAATCTCTCTAAAACTGAGTTTCTTATTTTTCCTCCTCATAACACTGATCCTTCTCATTCACTCTCCCTGCAGGTTGACGGTACCTGCCTCACTCCATCCTTTCACACTTGCTGTATTGGTGTCACGTTTGATCTTGGCCTTACCTTTGCGCCTCATGTCCAGTCTGTTGCTAAAAACTGTTGATTCCAACTTAAAAACATTGCCCGCATATGCCCCTTTCTTACGCAAGATGCTGCCATGGAGCTTGTTTACACTCTAGTAATCTCTCGCAACGGAAACTGTAATTCTCTCCTAATTTGTCTCCCCAGAAGCCGTACTGCCCCCCTACAATCTGTGGTGCATGCTGCTGCCAGGCTGATCTTTCTCTCCTGTCGCTCCTCTCACACCTCACCCTTCTGTCGATCCTTACACTGGCTTCCTGTCGCCTACAGGTGTCAATTTAAAATACTAACCCTTACCTATAAAGCTCTAACCAACACTAGACCCTCTTACATTTCTTCACTGAATCATAGATATGCCCCCTCTCGGTCTCTCCGCTCTACTAGTGACCTTCTCCTGTCTGCTGCTCACACTATTACTGCAAATTCACGCCTGCAAGACTTCTCACGGGCGGCTCCTTTCCTTTGGAACAGCCTGCCTACCCCTGCCAGACTCTCTCCTAGTCTTCAATGCTTTAAAAAGTCCCTCAAAACCCATCTTTTCAGGAATGCTTTTGTCCTCCAAGAGTAACTTCTATCTCTCAAACTTTCCTCTCTCTCTCTCCTACCATGTCTATTTGCTGTCTCTCTCAATACCCTTACTATTGTGTTTTTATACACCACCTCCTCTAGACTGTAAGCTCGTTTGAGCAGGGTCCTCAAACATCTATTGTTCTTGTTACATTTTGTTATTGTCTCATTTGGTAAATTCCCCTTTTATTGTAAAGCACTGCGGAATAAGCTGGCACTATATAAATACCAATAATAATAATAAAACATAAATGGGTGATGTGATAGGCTTAAAGGGTCAGCTGACACTTTGTTTTCTTTATTTCCTCATTAACCCAAGCAGCATGGAGGGTATGGGGCACTCTTGTTTAGCGTTAAAACATAAAAACGGTTTAATGCTGAATAGAATTATTATATATATTCACAATGCTGTTACAACAGATTATTAAAATGCACTTTATCTTATTTGGCGTTAGCACTATTTGATTTTTCTCCCATGTTGGAATTAGAGTAGGGCCCACCGATATTGGGGTACTGTGAAGTAGGGGTGGGCCACATGGTGTAACTGAAGTCCCATATTTGATTAACTGAGATAGATAATTTTAAATAGCCTTATAAAATTTAAAAATGTATTTTTATGTGTGTGCTGTTCCTAATCTGTATTAACTATAACCACTTTATTGAGATGAAACATGCCTACATAATCCTTTTAAACTTTCGGGATGCCATTTGTATGCAGTGCTTGCACAACTGAAAATATACCTCGAAAGTGGACTATGCTGTTACATTAATCTGCTTGATAAAAATTTAATGTTGCATTAATAAAAAAAACAGTTACGAAAATGCTGTGAAAATCATTGTTTTACAGTCATTATACAGAATTTACATGGTGATGAACTCCTATGAGTAGATTTATTTGATACAATAAAGTGATGCATTTAATTATATATTCCTCACTGTGTTCTGTAATAAGTATCAAGTTGAAAATAGCTACCTGTTAATGGAGCAACACATGTTCCCAAAGGATCTCTTTCTGTTTATATGGAGTTATTAAAAGAAATTTCAGTATAAAGAACAGTGAATTAACTAATGGTTCTAAGGAACACTCTCGCAGTATTAACTTCTATATCAGAGGTAATAATTTATTTCAAATATTCTATGATTATTACTTGGATACGATGAAGTAGAACATTTTTTGAACATGTAATCAGCTGTTTTTTGGGGGCAAATCTCTTGACCAGTGTTTGCAATACTTGGCAAACCCACCATAAATAATATCTGTAACTGAGAGACATCTCCAGCAGGAGTAGTGGTTGATTATATTAATATATATATCTATATATATATATATATATATATATATATATATATATATATATATATATACCACAATTATTTGAAGTAAATCATTTTAGCTTCGGAGTTCTAAGCTGATTGTGGCCATCTCCCCTTTGCTCTTAAGTAGAAGTTGCTTAAAGTCCACGTAGGTTCAATATTACTCTCTTTTATAGACCAGGTAACTAATCTGCATAACAGGAAATATATTTGCTTGCACAAGTCAAGACATATTCAAATAAACATATATACACTAAGAACTGCAATGTCTGAAGCTGGACACCTCCCACAAGGGAAACATTGTAAAAGATATACTATTATGCCATTAGGGTAAATTTTCTTTATTTTTATATTCAATCCAAGGGTTCCATAGATTATGTTGTGAAATTCATTTCCCAGATGAAGCTATAAAATTACTTTCCATAATTCATTGATAAACCAATTTGTTTATAATCTCTTGCCCTATTGAGGGTTGAGTCAATTTCAAATTATGGGCTATAGAGATCTTAAATGCGTAGAGAATATGCGTAATTTAATATTTAGATTACCTCTCCAGTATAGGAAAATCTAAGTTAAATGGAAAAGGTGGGGTGTAATAATTATAGTATCCAGAAATAGATCTGAAACCAAAGAGAATATTTGTTCCTTGATATCTTTTAACCCCTTAAGAACACATGACGGAAATATTTTGTCATGATTTCCCTATAATTCCTAAGTTGTGTCCTTAAGGGTTTAATATATCACAAGTATACAAGATACATGGATCATAGTTCCAGTTTCTTTTTTACATTTCCAACATATGGGTGAGTAAGATTTATATAATTTATGAATCTTAGCTGGAACCAGATACCATCTGTATAAAATTTTGAAATGCATTTTTAATAGAGAAACGCAGTTAATATAGTTTTTTTAGTTGAATAGCAGTTTGATACCATTCAGGTGGTGTAAAAGAAATACTGAGTTAATTTTCCCATTTGATAATAGAATTAATTATGTAAACACTTTCACTATCTATAAATTTAACGGATCTAGTGATCAAACCCTTAGTTTCTATTTTTTCTTTATAGCCAAACATAAAATGATCAAACAATATGGTTGTACGAATTGAAATAATGCTTAATTCTTAAATAACTAAAAATATCTCTATATTGTAGTATACTTGGTTTGTAGATTGGGAATACTTAACATTACTTTGTTTTAAAAAATACCATATAATTTTAAAATGCCTAATTGTTTCTATTTACACATATCCATTTCTAACATATTACATTGAAGAATTTCTACGGGGGCTTTGAAAAATATATATTCTGTTAGTTCATGTTTGTTTTTCGACGATTTTAAAGGATGCTAAATATCAACATTTCTGCACAAAAACCTCTGTTATAAAGGAACATTCCAAAACCCTAAAGCACTTTAGCTTGACAAAATGCTGTAGGGTTATCAGCATATAACCTCTTGTATCGCCTTCTCTTTATTTTGTAAAAGATAAATATTTTACAAAGGTTTTCTTCCACACGCGCTTTCAGCACTCATTCAAAGCAGAAGTGAGCTTTTCTCATAGAGAAGCACTGATTTCAAAACCTCACCATACCTTTTAACCTCCTCTTCTTGCACAATCTTAAAAGGACTGCATATTCCCCCTCAACATGGATTTAGGATATCCTCACACCATGGCTCACAAAACAAACGTGTCAGCCCTTATTCTGACTTTACCTATGCCAGTGGTGTACTAAGGGAGGGGTGGGGTGGAGCGGTTCACCGCGGGTGCCACCAGGGCTGGCCAGGCTTTGGGTTCTGTGAGTTGTGTGGCTGCACAGGGCACCATGTCATCAGGGGCACCAGACAGCCAACACAACTCACACGCAGGGGTCGGCAAGAAAACAGCAAGAGAACTTGATGAATAGTTGGGGACGGAGCTAAATCACACGCAAGGGCAGAGTAAATGGCAGCTTCCATTTGCTGCTCTTACTGCTGCACACCAAGGGGAAGCAGGAAGGAGTGGAGTTCCTGCTTCCCCAACAACTTGACACCAGAGCCTTCTGCCCATACTGTCAATAAGTAAGAAAGAGTGTGTGCTGTGCTGTGTGTGTAACTGTGATTGTGTATATCTGCCTCTGACTGTGTAGGGAGGCTCTGCAGCAAGAATGTATCCAGTACAGAAGCAAGGCAAGACTAGGAATAGGCACCAAACATAAAAACAAGACAGAACTAATAGAACCCAGAACCGGAGAAGGGTAGAAAGCTAAACCCAGAATATGTACACAAGACATGAGGGAAGCATGGGCATGACTGGACAGGACTGTACATGGACTGGGTATACAAACTAAAACAAGACAAGATAAGATAGGCAAAACAAGAGGAGAAATAACTAAGCACTAAATATGAAATTCATGGGGATTTAGTCACATTATATGATCATACATTGCATAAGACTGCCAAAAACACTAATGTATCCCATATCTGGCAGGTTCTACTCTGCCTAATGCAAGCTAAACCACCCAAAGAAAACACACATAGTACTTACCTGCAAGAAAGGGCAGAGACTTGAAACACTGCTGCAGGTCCAGACTGAAAAAAAGGAAAATGGAAAACAAACGGGTGTGGCTACATAAAACAAATATTTAAAGGAAACCTGAAGACTGGGAATCCCAGGGATGGATTACAGGAATTAACCCAGAAATCCCAGCAATAAAGAAAACCAGACAGACTGGAAAACCAGAAAAAACAAGAAAAACTAAACAAGAATTGTAAAAAGAGTACTGGATACCAGAAGCCATTGCCAGAATGATCCGCAGCTAGGAACAGGATGTGACACCGTGTGTGTGTGACTATCTGCCTGTCGCCATGTGTGTGTGACTGTCTGTAACTGTGTGTGACTGTCTGCCTGCAACTGTTTGTGTGTGACTGTCTGCCTGTAACTGTGTGTTTGACTGTGTGCGAGTGACTATGTACCTATGGCTGCATTTGACAGTATATGTGTATAACTGGTAAAGAGAAGATATATGTAAAAAGGACAAAATGTCACAATGGGCACAAAAAGGTTCCTTGTAGAATATAAGACAATATAATATAACATACAATAAGATACATTTTATTGACTCTCTGGAAGAAAAACATGTAACATACACCCATTAAAAAGAGTTATAAAAATATATAAGCTCTATATCTTTTTATGGCTCTTTTTAATGGGTGTATGTTAAATTTTTTTCTTCCAAAGAGTGAATAATATTTATCTTAATGTAGGTTATATTATATTGTCTTATATTCTACAAGGAACCTTTTTGTACCCATTGTGACTTTTTGTCCTTGGGACATATATCTTCTCTTTCCTACTTAGACTTAGGGTTACCCCCTGTCCAGGTTCACTTGTACACACCACAGTCCCAGTGTGGGATATTACGTTTTTACTAGTTTATGTGTATAACTGTGTGCATCTGACCGTCTACGCCCTGCAGTGAGCCAACAGCCGGGATATAACGTCATCCCAGCATCGGCGTCATTACAGGGCGCATGAGGGACCTGTGCAGGAAGAGCACAGAGATCCCGGCAACAACCATTGACCACCAGGGACTGATTATCCATTCCAGTCCTCCCAGAGCAAGATAGGGAGGCTGGGTGGACCTCTTAATTATTAAATGTGTGTATGTATGTGATATTTGTGTGTGTATGTCTAATTATGTAAAAAATGGGGGGATGGGTCTGCGCCAATGTACACAATAAATAATAATATCAAGTCCAAAAGA